GATATGATTGTGGCCAGGCACTGGGGGTGCAGGGAGGGGACGGGCATGTGACCTAATACAAGCTGGCCTCCCTTTCTTATGTCACTCTTGATCCTGCCAACCCACGGAGCTTCGATACTTACAGGGTATCCAGGGTCCCCGGGCTCCCCACGCTCTCCACGATCACCCACAGGTCCCTGAACAAGGACAACACAGTCAGTGGGGCTCTACCGCCTCCCCTTGCCTGCTTCCCAGGTCCACGCAGCTGGAGGTCCAGGCTCCACCCAGGACCCCACACAACCCAGAAGATGGAAGGGGCCTTACCCGATCTCCAGGGGGCCCCGGGGGCCCCTCGGCCTTGCCGTCCTCACCCTGTTCCCCCTGCGGACACAGAACCAACTTTAGACAAAAGGCCTACCCTGGGGAGTTGGGCTTTTACCAGGAGACAGGAGATGGAGGCCAGAAAGAGAGAGAAAGAGGGAAAAAGAGAAAAGACCCAGGAGAAGGTGGCACCTGGACAGGGGAGACAGGCATTCTACACCTTATACTACTGGGCATGCCAGCCCAGCCCCCCCAAATAAGATCTGGGCATCAGAGGGTCCACCTTGCTCTACATGGAACCTGCTGGGGAACCCACAATGTTCCCACCAGACTCTGCACCCCTTCTCCCAGTGAGGGAGAGGAGAGGAGGAATGATAGCTGAGTGATGAGTGTGCACAGTGCCCAGCACTGGGGACCATGATGGGGCAGGGCAGAGCAGCGAGCTCCACACAGCTCCTTCACTGCGCTGGGCATGAGGCCTGGGGAGGCCGTGGGAGCTGCTCTGTGGTCCTGGCTGGGAGAAAAAAAAATGTCTGAGGACCCTGGTCTTCCTCAGGAGCCCCAGAGAAGGCCTGGGGTCACCAAGTGATTCTCAGCAGCTGGGGGTCTCATCTATATGACAATTTCCTTGGTGCCTAGCAGGGCAGGACGCCTGGCGATGCTGTACTCTTCAGCCAAGAATGCTCTGGAAGGCACCGTGGACCCCTGGCCAGCGGCTGCCTGCGAGAATGACCCGGCGGACAGCCACTGAAATTGCAACTGTAATAATAATAGTGATGGCAGTGGCCATGTGGCACACACACGTGGCCAGGATGGGATGGAGGGAGAGGCCAGCTTAGGCCCTGGTCCTGCTGCAGGACCCATGCCTATTCCCCCCTTGCATGAGAAAGATTTAAGCAGAACAACACAGGATAGCTTCTCAGGGCCGGAGAGACTCAAATCCCAAGAAACTGGTATCACCTCTCCTGTGAGCTATTCTGGCCAAGGGATTCTAGCAAGGGCACCTGAGCCCCCCTGTGGCCCTCAGAGATGGGAGGCAGCCCTAGGGGACAGGAGACAGTGACCTGTGGGCCTAGAGCACTGCTTGGCCAGGGAGGCTGAGGTGTGGCACCAGGCCATCTTGGCTGAGGCTCAGCAGGACTCGGTCCAAGCCCAGAACCAGTTGTGAACCCAAGGGATGGCCTAGGGAATGGTACTCTCTCTCCTGCCCCTGGCTTGATGATTCATCTCTCAGTCTTACTGTGGGGATGGCAGGTGCCTGGGGGCGGGGGCTGCACTGGGCCAGGAGCCTGGATTTACCTATATTTTGTGTGCTAGGCACTTAGACAAGTTTGTTCCATTTTGTGTTGGAGACTCTCTGTATAGCTGCCTGGTTGCTGCTGAGCTGCTGTCTCCACTTCACAGATGGGGAAACTGAGGCCCCAGGAAGGCAGGATCTCAGATAAGGCCACTTAGGAACCAAAGTTCAAAACCAGCCCTCCAGATCACCCCCAACATGCACCTTGCCACCACCGGCATGTCCCCACCTCTCATGTCTATGGCAGCCTCGGGCTAGGGTTGAGGTGAGGGCTGGGGGGAGAACTCCCCTCTCCCCAGCCCTCAGCAGCCTGCCCTCCCTCCAAACACTGTCCAGCCTGTGGTGAGCTGGTCATCAGGGGACAGTCATGAGCCACCACCATGGCGGTGTTCCCATGGGGTATGGCATCCGGTGACCGGATGTCTGTCTTCATTTGTGTCCACACTCTGCAGGCTGTTCCCACAAAGATGAAATCTCTGAACATGGCAGTTCTTATAATCCCTGTCACTAAGCAATGCATGATTGGGTTTCTATTTTGGAGCTGGGCTGGGCAGCGGTCCCGGGCCTGGAACATACTAGTCTAGGAAGCCAAGGAGTGAACGAGGATGTAATAGGACCTCATGGCTGAGAGCGTGTGGACACACATACGGTCGGGCTCAGCATGAATGACATAACACTCACCCACTGGGAAGATGGGGACATTCTCACCGCCACTAGCACCACTTCTGGTCCTGGGGCTCATTAGCTCCACTGAGCTTTGGGGATTGTTACCCCTGTGCTAGCCCCAGCAGGCTCCAAGGGCTGAGGAGAAGTGGCATTTTCGGTGGCCTCCTGTGGATTGTGTCAGGGCCTAGACAGGGGTCTGCACCCCTCCAGGCAGGAGGAGGGGCCATGGGACAGGAAAACCAAGCCAATGTGACTCACCCACAGAGGGGTTCAGTGAGTGGCGAGCTGACTCAGCAGCGGGAAGGCAGGCTGAGGAGGCCCACTAGAGGGCGTCTGAGCTGTGAGTCGCGGGGAGGGTGAGGAAGGCTGGGCCGGGGAGATACTCCATGCCTGCAGTGCCGGCTCCTTCTCAAGCCCTCGCCTGTCCCTGGCATTCCTCCTTCTGGCTCACTCTGGGTGACCTCATGCACATGCAAAGCGCAATGCCAGTGTTTGCAGGGATGACGCAGTTTTGGCCAATACATGATGGATCTCCATTTCTTCTGAGTGACCCAGAGCCCCAAAGGGCAGGGGTGGATCAGTTTTGCCCCAGTTCCAGGCAGAGATGACATGTAGTGATGAGAGTGCATCTCATCGCACGTTAGGCCTTGGGGGTTCTGACCTCAGGGCTGGCTCCAGGCAACCGTGGGGTGAGCAGGTACCAGCCGTCCTGAGCCTTCCAAGCTACTTATGGCACACGGACCCCACTTACAGCATGGTCCATCTGCCTCCCTGAGACCAAACACCTACCTTCTCTCCTTTTGGCCCAGGAGGCCCGAGCGGTCCTACAACACCTTTGTGTCCCTGCAGATAAACAAAATGGAGAGGTGAGGGGCAAGCGAGGACTCGAATAGAGGACAGGAACTCAGAGCTGCACACAGTGGGGCTGTACACAGGGGTTCCAGCGTCTGTCCCAATTTGCTCTGTGGTTCAACAAACCCTGTGTCTCTGTGGGTCCTGGCCTTCTAGACAGGTCTTTCAGGTGCCTTCTCGCCTCCCCCACTCCATGGGGGTGTGCTTACTTGAGTGGCTGGGGCTCTGCTGTGCTGCCCTGTTATAGGGGCCAGTGGCTCCTGGTCCTGGCCTCCTCCCTCTCCCCCCCCCCACCCCCCGGGTTCCTTGGCCTGTTCTTGTTTCCTTTCTCTTCCTCCCTCTTAGGACTCTTTCCGACTTCACTCTCCAACACTGCAAGCTCCCAGGCCTCACCATGAGCTTTAACAGCCTTGAGCCTCAGTTTCCCTTTCTGACCAGTCCTAGCCTCTCTGAAGCTGGGTCTATCTGGTATGGAACAAGGGGCAGCTCAGCCACTTCTAAGGAGGGACCATCCATGGGGAACATCCTCCTCAGGTCTAGGCTGGTCTCTTCTTCCACAGGGGGCGCTGTGACACTAGGCATCCGGAACACCCAACAGCATAGGAAGGAAGGCTTGGGCCACCCTCCTCCACCAAGCATGGTACCCTACATGCCCATTTACGGCACCTCACCAGTGCCCCAGGGGTCACACACAGCTAGGAGGGGGCTCTGGGACAGAGTTCCAGAGAGGGGTGGGGGAACTTACATTGTAACCAGCCAGTCCGGGTTCCCCCTGGGACCCCATCCGTCCTGGAGCACCCTGGGAAAGGAGAAGACCCTCATTGGTGTGTGTGGGTCACAGCAGCAACATTCTCCCCCAGCAGCCTGGCACCCCTTACACTGCCCAAGGAGTAGCAGGTGGAAAACTAGTAGGATCCCCCCGCCTTCTCTTTCTGTGCCTCCCCAGCCCTCCCTTCTCCCAACTCTGGTGGTTCGTGGACACAGGTATGACTTAAACGGAGCTGCTATCCAATTGAAATTTCATGGACCCCAAGTTCTATCAGTGTCACTAAAAACGAAGATAAGATAGACAAGACATCCTTTCCCAATCCTTCTACTACAGCTATTACCTGTGCTCATGAGACTATTTGGGACTTGGGGTGGGGGTAGGGGGGAAGAGGAGCACTGCCTAAATGATGCCATGTATTGCCTCCCTGCCCCCACAGAGACTGCCAAGTGATTGACAGGATATCGGCCATGGTGGGAGTGTCTCCACCACGGGCATCGTAGAGGTCCCTGCCAGCATGGCAGGGCTCAGGGCCACCATGTCAACCTTTTCAGCCCCGAGCCCCTGGGCTACCCCGCGAGGTATCTGGGAACCTGATACACTGTACCCTAAATCTGTGGCTGTGTTTCCACCGGGGAGCCTCCTTGTTACAACCTCACACTGTCTCCAACAGTCTGGGCTTTTCACCGCCTCCAAGGGAGGGCCCTTCACATTGTCTGTCTATCCGGTGTGTTCAAAGGGGATGCCCACTGCACATTCTTTTGTTTTCGGGAGGTGGGTCAGTCATGGGGCTTGAACTCCGGACCTGGGCACTGTCCCTGAGCTTTTGTTTTTTATTTCTTGCTCAAGCTAGTGCTCTATTACTTTGCACCAAGGTCCCATTTCTGGTTTTCTGGTGGCTAATTCAAGATAAGAGTCCCACAAACTGTCTTGCCTGGGCTGGCTTCCAACTGCGATCCTCAGATCTGAGCCTCCTGAGCAGCTAGGATTCCAGGCGTGAGCCACCAGCGCCCAGCAGGATGCACATTTTTGTCATGACACCCATGATTAAAACGAGGCGGCTGGGACTGAGCAAGGGGGGCATCAGCTACCAGCTGGGGTGGAAGTGGCCTTACAGAGATGCCTGCTGCTCCCTTCCTCTCTGGGTCCCCTCTATGCCGTGCTTGACTCCCTTTTCAGCCAGCATCCTCACCGTGGGTCCCAGGCTGCCTCGGGCCCCCTTAGGGCCTGGGGTCCCTGGGGGTCCAGGGTCTCCAGGGACGCCCATCTCACCCAGCTGTCCTTGGTAGCCCTTGGTACCCTGCGGTTGGAGAAGAACAGGCTGTCAGCAGCCCTGCCGGAGGGTGTGTGAGGAAGGGATGCGGGAGGAGGGTCTGGGACCATCACAGCAAGATAGAGGACCTACCTTGGCCCCAGTCCGGCCCTTCTCACCCTGCTTCCCTGGTTTTCCTTCTGGACCCTGAAGGGGAGACAAGGGAAGAACAAGAGAAAAAGAACGGAGACAATCAAGGCAAATTTATGAGACACGTCTGCCCCTGGCTCTTCAGACCTTGCCTTTTTTTTTTTTTAACTCAAGGCTATCATTCTTCCACATAAGCTCTATTTTCAGCTTTTTTTGGTGCTTAGTTGGAGATTAGAGTCTCACAGATTCTCTTGCCCAGATTAGCTTTGAACCATGATCCTCTCAGATCTCAGCCTCCTGGGTAGTTAGGATTATAGGTGTGAGCCACGAGCACCCGGCTTATGTTTTCTATACATTATATGAAAGCTACACACAGATCAAGTATTTCCAGTAAGAATTTTCATCAGAACTGGGGTGCTGTAAGGAGAAATACTCACTGGATCTGAAAGACTTAGTGCAAAATAGAAAAGGTAAAAGCTCTTCTCGGGGAATTTTTACTATCAATTTCATGCTGAAATAATATTGTGGACCTCGTGGGTTGAGGGAAATAGGATATTAAAATGAACTTCCCCTGTCTCTTCTTACTGTTATAAAAGGTAGCTACTAGAGAATTTTAAATCCCATACATGGCGTACTCTGTTCTAACAGGCAGTGCCAAGCTGAGCAATGTCAAGTTCTCTTGCTTTCTCCGTAGTAAAACACTAAACATGGTCAAACACTAACCATCCTCACAGCCTTCACCGCGGGTCAGGCTGCTGCTGTGTGCTCCGCTACATAAGCCCCTCCCTTTGAGCTCAGTGGTGAAGGATTGACACCCCCACCCCAAAAGCCCAGGTATGCACGAACGTGCCTGACACAGGCAGGGCAATCTGGCCTAAGCCTGGCCCTACACATTCCACTGTGGGCCTAAGTGAAAGCCTCTACCTCCCCCAGCCCTAATAACCTTTTCCATAACCTTTGTGTCCTGGCTCAGACTCCTTAAAAGCCTAACTCCAACCCCACCTTCTCCTCGCACAACTTTCTTCCCAAGGAAAGGTTGCTTGCCCCCCGCTGTGCCTCAATAAACAGTCCTTGCCTGTCCCTTCCGCTTCCAGTTTTCTAACACACGGTGTTGGGAGGAGGGGGTTGGGTCTAAAGACACTGAGGCGCGTTGCTGGTTGGAGACTTGGCCTGGTGGCGCTCTAACTGGCTAGAAGAACTTGCCGGACGGAGAGGACAGCAGCCGCTGACCGACCTCTTGTTGGAGGAAGGGCGAGTGGGCACTGAAGCACTGGGCGTGGCGTCAGAGGGACAGAGCCACGTCTGCCCAGGGACAGGGCACCCACTGTCCTGACAGCTGGAGACACAGGTGAAAGGGAAACCCAGGTCCCTGAACCCTTCCCAGGCCCTCACAGCCTCGAGAGACTCGTGCCAAGCTGAACCAGGAGGACTGGGAGTGACAAGACACCAACCCTGACCCAGCCACCACGCCAGCACAACCCCATCCCCACCACCGCCACCGCGCCACTGCCCACCACCTGTCACCACTCCCGCTGCTGCCACCATCATGGTCGCCATCACCATCATCACCCCTCCACCACCATGGTCACCGTCTCATGATCACAACCACCCCCATCGCCACCACTGTCCCCACCGCCGCCACCATCACCATGGCCTCCATTAATGTCACCGTCACGGGGGCTGAGACCAGAGAGGGCAGGAGGCAAAGAAAAAGCCACGCAGCAAGGGACCAGGGAGCCAGCTCTGCTCCGCGGAACTCCCCCTGGTACGCGTGGGCCCAGGCTGACTCTGAGCAAGGGGAAGCCTCTGTCAGGGACCATGTGTGCACACGGCCCGTCTCCTCCTCTAGCTGTGTGGGGATCTCACTCTGTCTTGGCTACCGAGACAGCTTAGCGCTTCAATTCTATTTTTAGGAGGCATATTTTCCCACAGCAGTTTTGTTGCCTGCTAATTTGGCTCGGTTCCAAGTTAGTCATTTCAACACTCCGGAGGGAAAAAGAATGTCCAGAGCAGGCTGAATGAAGTGCGGGAAACAACACAAATCTCAGCCCGGCCAGGGCAGGCGGGGGGGCAAGGGGCCGAAGGAAATGTCTGGCCAGGGAGACCGGCTGCCGCGGCAGGGTCCTGTGCCCAGCTGGCCCAGGGTGGACGCCTGTAGGCCCTCACTGGGGCGGCTTGTCTCCATGGTCCCAGGCCACACACATCCCATTCCACCCCGACCCCACTACGAGTCAGATTCCATGACATCAACCAAATATGCCTTCTACCTGCCACCCAGCCATTCTGCCCAGGCCCTGAAATCTTAAGCAGCTCTGTTGTTCGTTACTGTGTGGCCCTGGGTAGTTTCCCCTGCCTCTCTGATTCTCTAAGTCCTCGGGATTGCTATCCCCATCAAAGAAGGAACACACGGGCAAGTGCTGAGCAGGGTATGTGTAGACAAAGAAACAGGGCAGCCCTGTCCTTCCCTGGGCACCTCAAGGGCAGGGGGTCAGATTCAATCTCAGGGGAACACAGTTGTGTAAGGGTGTGAGGGCAGAACTTAACAAACAGAGCTAGGGTACTAGGCAAATGGTCCTGGGGGCCCAAGGCCTAGCTTGGGGTCAGGGCTGGCTTTCTGGTGTAGGTGCTGTCTATCGTGACAGCTGAAGGAATTCAGAGTGCAGCGGATGACAGGGGAACAAGAAAGAGCCGGAGTCCCAGACAGGGGGATGAGCATGTGCAAAGGCCCAGGGGTGAGAAACAGAGCTCAGGAAAGCAGCATGGGTGGGTGTGTGTGACTGGATGCCCGGGTAGGTACGGACACAGGAGCCAGGTTTGTGCAGGGAGCAAAGGTTATTTTGAGGGTGTGGAGGGATCCCTGGAAGGCAGAGTAAGAGACAAGACTAGTTTTGAGTCAAACTCCTTGGCAGAGGAGGACCTCTCATAGAGGACTGTGTAGGTGGTGCAGGAAAGCACGCATGTCTGCTGAGCCCACGGCCCCAGTGTGGGCAGTGGCCTGAACACTCACCCTGATGCCGGTGATCCCCGGAGGCCCGGGGGGGCCGTCCTCACCCTTCAGCCCCTCCTGGCCTTTCTCACCACGCTCACCGTCAGGCCCTGGGTCGCCTCTGTCCCCCTGAGTTGGGAGAACAAGAAAAGGAGGAGGACAGAGAGAACAGATGAATCACCAGGCTCATAAGAACCCCAAATCTCCAAAGGCATGCAGAGGCCGCCTTCCCTGCCCCCCCACTTCCCAGCCAGGGTCTCTGGTGTTCCCCAGAGCTGCTGAAAGGCTGGGGCTGGCATGGGGGCTCATGTCCCCATGGGATCTCTTAAAACCAGAGTTGCCCTTTGGACCCTTGCTTGCGGTTTCCAGTGATAATGATGGATAGGGAGGAACCGCTGGCCGCCATGTAGCAGGCCAGTGCAGGAATGCCGGGTGAAGGAGCTGTTCTGTGGTGAGCGAGGCCGCTAGGACGCAAGGCCCTGGGTCAGCCTGCTTCCTGTGGTCACCGTTGCTCTGCATGGCGGTGCTGCGGCCAGGAGGATGCTTTCTCTGACCAGTGGATGGTGTGTGGCACTCACTCTTTTCCCTATCTGAACCACACTCTGTCTGTGCTCACCGACTTAGCGTGTGCTCCTGAAAGCCTACTCTTGGGCCCGTTTCACAGACAGGGAAAGTGAGGCAGAGCTGTGCAGTGATCTAGCTTCCAGTCCCCCCCCCCCTCCTCGCAGTAGAGCTGAAATCTGTCACCGAGAATAGACACTGGCCAGTTCACTATAAGCGGTTAGTGAGGGAAGGTCTCTGGAAAGGTAAGGGGTGGGGGGCGGATGCCACAAGGTCTTCACAGGGTTGGGAACTCCAGGGTCTGTCTGTGCAAGTGGACCCCTGTCATGGGTTTGGAGAGCCAAAGGTACAGGTGTTCCATGGTTCTCCCTTCGTACAGGGCTTCAAAACAACCACAGACATCTCCCTGCGTGGTCCTGCACCTAGCCGTCTTCTATGTGGCAGGTGGGCAGGTGAAGTTCAAGTTCAGGCAGTGCTGCTTCAGGCGGGGAGGTGTGCATCAAGGGCCGTGTGGGCAGGGCCTATGGCAAATCCCCACGTGGCTCAGCAATGACAGCTCAGGGAGGCCGAAGAGGAAGAGAGCGGAGTCCAGGCACACCGGAGGGGAAGGGCCGCAGAGCAGTCTGGGAAATCAGAGTGCGGCATCACACATGACAGGGGACACTGACGTTGTCACGGGGCATGCAGGGTAGAGAGCGGCTCCCAGAGGGGATGGAGCTGGAGCTGGGCTCCAGACCTCCGACGTTCATGAACTGCACTGCTGCAGGCTCCTCCTGAGGGCTGGCTCAGCCTGCTGGAGGCTGGCGTAGGAAGCTCTGGGCTATCTATGGCCCACCCTGGGGCAATCTGTCATTCGGCATCCACAGACCACACAGGAGAAGGGTGACAGAGATGAGCGGTGTGGCTGGTGCACAGATTCGAGATCACCAGGCTGCTCTCTGAGGTCCCTTCCCACCACAGCTGTCCGTTCCACAGAGCGAGGTGGAAATGGTATGGAGAGGGCGGCTGGCCCCAGTGGCTTTCTCGCAGACTCCTGGGACTCCTGGAGGCCATTCCTGATTTGCCACCCCCGGCCACCTGCTATCCCAGCATTCAGTGGCAGCAAAGTGGCCAGGCAGTAAGTATGGGGAGATGAAAAGCCCACAGCCCTGCTCCTAGCCAGTTGGGTGAGGGTCACTGTGGGTCATCTCACAAACAATGGCTTCAAGGGGTTTCTGGAAGCCTTGGGGAATCCTCAGTCAATATTCAGAAGGGCCTTGAGTCAACCATTCCAATCTACACAGGGTAAAAACAGGCTTGGAGAGGCAGCAGCGTCCAGTGCTGGCAGGAAGTCAGGGGTAGAGAGCAGGTGAGAGCCCAGTTTCCAGGCCCTGCACACGGGAGGCAGCAGCTCCCTCACCTCCAGGCCACACCCCCCGACTGCACTCAATGGCCAGGACCCTTCAGCAAGCTTCCTTACTTATCAAGGGAGGCCCAAGGGCTACCACAACGTTGGACTGGATGGGGACAAGCCCTGTAGATGCTCAATGAGCACTAGACAGAGGAGAAATGCTACTGGCCACCAGCACCCACGCTGCCACCGTCAGAAGACGTATTGGACATAGAGCATGCAAGAAACACCAAAGGCTGTGCCTCCCCGAGAGGCAGTCCCTGGGTGAGCATCATGGTCTAATGGCACTCATGGGAAGACCAACGAAGAAGCTATGCCTGAGTGCGACTACTCTGATTCAAGGCCAAAGGTTGGAGGAAATGCAAGAGGATAAAGCCAGGGCTACGGAAAAGTGGAGGAGGAACAACGTGATGTCAAGCATTAGACTCAGCAAAGACTCCAAGAACAGAAAACGGCCACACAGAGGGAGACGAGGAGGTGGGGATGTGACCTTAACGTGGACACTGAAGTTTCTAGCTGGGAGGGGGCTGGGAGAATAGAATAATGGGATACTGCCCATCAAGTTCTTAAGGTGGGTGGTGCTTGGCACACACAAGCACACACACCCTTCGGGGTGCAGGGTATACTACAGCACAGCACGTGGCAGTGGTCACTAGCTGTGGGTGGACCATCAAAGGCTCCTGGGGTCTGGCCCAGGTGCACCTGTGCACTGATGCAGCAGGTAGAAAGGTGGCCAATAGGGGGAGCTCTTGTGTCCTTTCAAGAAAGCACCCAGAGCCGGTAGGGGCCAGTCACTAAGGCTCCCTAGGAAACTGGCCAAACTCCCCAAACTGGGGAGGGTTGCATGTGAGGTAAGTTGGGAGCAGGGGAATTGCTGATGGGGAAGTCAAGGCTCAAAGAAGGGGGTGCTTATCTGAGATCCTGTGGAGAGATGGTGGGGGACAAGAGGACATGAGGTGAGGAATTAACTGGTAGAATGTGAAAGGTCCTCCTTGGGGAGAGTCCTGGCACCTGGGAGGCCTAGGCCACAGGTAGAGATGAGAGTCAGAGGAGGTTCCGGAACAGGTGGGGCGTAGACGGGCTTATTGAAGCCAACAAATATAACTATGAGCCATAGGTTTGAATGTCAGGCCCTGTACTCAGATAGTCTCTGAGTGAGTAAACACCACTCTACCTTCCTAAGAGTCTCGGTCTTTTCACTTTTACTTTTTTATTTTTGTTGGTTGTGGGGCTTGAACTCAGGGCCTGGATGCTATCACCTGTGCTGTTTTGCTCAAAGCTAGCACTCTACCATTCTGAACCACAGCTCTACGTCCAGTTTTTAAGTGGTTAATTGGAGATAAGAGCGTCACGGACTTACCTGCCTGGGGTTGGCTTCGAACCATAATCATCAGACCTCAACCTCCCGAGTAGCTAGAATTACAGATGTGAGCCACCAGTGCCCAGCTTAGTCTTTTCACTTTCAGCACAGGTATATGGTAGCACAGAAAGATCTGGGCTTTGGAGTCAGACAGGCCTGGATTTCAGTTCTTTCTGTTTGTGCCAATAATAGTGTGTGTTCTCTGACAAGCTGCTAAACCTCTCTGAATCTGTTTCCTCACCTAAAAGTAGGACTTACCTGAGGCACTGATGGTGGTGATACACACAAAGGGATCTGCACAGAACCTGGTAACGCTGGGAAAGACTGAGCCTCTGACTCAGTCTCCCTGGCCACTGGCCACTGACCCTCCCCATTACTCTCCATGAGACCCACAGCCCACTTGGGTACTTTAGGGAGCTTGGTAGCCTGGAAGAAGCTTGAGCCTTGAACAGTCTTGTACCCCTAAAGCCCCTCTCCAAGACTGAGGCTCCCCCTTAGACCTTGCCTTCGAGGACACTTACCTTCAATCCATCTGGCCCTGCAGGACCAAGATCACCCTCCAGGCCTGGCTCTCCCTAGAAAGGTAGTAGGGAAAGGTGAGGAAGAACCCGGATGCTCTCCCTCTCTCTCACGGGGCAAGCACACAAGGGTACACATCCTCAGGGATGGGGAATGACATAATTATCATAGGCCAGATCTTGCTGGTCCCAAGGATAGCCTAGACATGACATCTGGGCTTGCTGCTTGGACTGGGGTGGTGGGTCTGCCTAGTGGGTGGAGTTGGCTTTACCATTGGGCATGCCTCAATACCACCTGTCTGAGGGGCATGTCCAATGCTAAAGTGCCCGTGGTATCTGCTGTTTGTCTGCAACACATGACTGACACCACCTTTAAGAGCTGATGGCCAAGAGGTGGCAGGCCGGTGGATTCTACTCCTCCTGTGCCTGTGGCAGACATCATGAATTGATCCATTAGGACCCAAGTTCCATGAGTCAGGCCCTCTGCTGCTCACTGCTGTGCTCTCAGTGCTATAATAAATGTGCCTGATGCACAACTCTTCTCCTGCCTGCTGAGCTTCTCGTGGGGCCTTCAAAAACCTTCCTAACACAGCTTCCAAGACTATTGATCAAGCACAGTGGACAAAAGTCAGGCCACGCTCTCCATCTCAGGCCTCTAGGCTCTTCTCTTTGCCATGTGGCCTTTCCCTCTTACAAAATGTGGACATGCGGACATGTTGGCCACCAAGGAAGACCAGACAAAGCTGTAGAGATTCTTGGTCTATCTCTATAACCAAGGAAACCGAGATTCGGGAATTAAAAAAAAAAAAAAAAGCTCTTCCCTTCCCCTTGAGCCCACACATCCTGAGGCTTTCCAAGGAGAATGAAGTTGTTTCCACTTACCCGCTGACCAATGAGGCCCTGCTCCCCAGGCGTGCCCAGAGGCCCAACATCACCCTAGAAGAAGCCAAACACAAACCACGTGGGGGTGGGGCACAGGTGCTGCGGCCTTTGCCATTCTTTCTGGCTCTGACTCAGGGCAGGGGAAAGGGGAGATGTCTTCTCAATGACCAGAGAGTAATTGTGAAACACCAACCAGAACCCCTGTTCCAAGTCAGCCCTGACCATGAATTTCTCCTGTGCCAGAAGAGAAGGATCACCATCACCATGACCACTATTAGTCCTGTCACCAACATGATCATACTCACCACCACCATCACATCATTACCATCACTGTCATCTTCACTATCGCCATCACGACCACCACCACGATCACTCTCTCCACCATTATTACTACTGCCATTACATCATCATCACCACACCCATTCAATCACCACCACCATCACCACCATCAAGATCACACTCACTACCATTATCATTACTATAGTCATCATCAACACCATCACCGTGATCACTTACCTCCATGATCATATCATTACTACTACCGTCATCATGATCACCCTTCCCACCACCACCACCATCACATCATCACCATCACCGCCATCACCAAGATCAATTTCATCACCATCATACTACCACCATCACGATCACACTCACTACCACCACCAACATTAACACCATGATCACCTACCACCACCACCACCATTACTATCATCACAGCATCATCAGCATTGTCAACCATTAGTCATCAACATTACCACCATCACCATCACCACCACCCCCACCCCTCACCACCACCATCACATCATCAATACCACTGTCCTCATCAACACTACCACCATCATGATCACTACCATCACCATCACCCTCCTCGGCTCCAAAGATGCACTGGTGTAGTAAGAACTTTGTCCCATGGAGACGATTTGACTTCCCCAATGACCTGAAGAAAGGTGTTCTTTGGTAATGGAAGAAGCCAAGACTGGGGTGTTGGTAATCAGCCCAAACTTTAAAGGTACTCTGATAAAGTATGACACCTTTAGCATCCAAACCTGGTGGTTTGGCTCCACGAACATCAGCATGGCAACTCTGACTGAACATCTTTTTTTTTTTTTAACTCTTCCTTGAGACTTGGTGAGAACCCCAATAGGAAGGAAGTCTGACTATATCTCCTGAGAGGCCTCCAAAAGTCTTTCTCATCTGGGGATTTCCAGGCTTTGCAGCCTGGTCATCCCAGAACCCCAGCTTGGGCTCAACAGGAATAATCCACTTTTACCTTGCTTATATACCAGGTGCTTTTCTTCATTGAGCAAAGGATCTGACAGCTAAGCCAGGTCTAACAGTGCCAGGCCTGTTGCAGCTCTCTCTTCATGGGAGGGAGATGGGCACAGGGGAAGTGTTCAGCCCCAAGTCCCACAGCCCCTCAAGCTGGCTCCCCTGGACTTGGGTTTTACTGTGTGTCAGCATGGCACATAGGCCCGCATGGGGTGCAGGACCAGGAGGGGCTCTTCCCGGGGCCCAGGTATCAATGGGTACCTGTTTCCCAGCAGGTAATGAGGGGCACTGGAGCTGGGATACAGATGCTATCACACGTCTGGGAGGGGTGGCCAGGGCAGGTGCCAGAGAAAATGCTGTTAGGCAGGGGCTCAGAATGGCTGAGCGTGGCACTGGGGCCACAGCAGGCCCCACTCCCCAGCCAGCAGTACAGAGACCCCATTATCCTGGGCACAAGAAAGGCCCATTTCTCTTCCCCATGGAGGACGTCGTTGCCAGCTGAGAGCTGGTTTCAACAAGTCATTTTTCTCATCTTTCATCTCGTCTTACCTTCATCCCAGCTTCCCCAGGAAGGCCTGGTTCTCCCACAGCACCTGGTGGCCCCTGCGGGGGGGGGAGGGAAACACACAAGCGCGTGCGCGCACGCACGCACACACACACACACACACACACACAATGCCATTGGTTTCTTGCAGAACAAGAGCTGTCCCCTTGTCCCCTACAGATCAGGGGGTTAACTAAGGTCCCAAGAGGGCAAATGTTGTACCCAGATCACACTGCAAGCACACCGAAGTGGGAGCAGCTACGGTCTCTGGGAGTTTGGAGCTGGCACCAGGGGGCTGGGCCTAGCCCAGCGGCTGCTGGACCCCCCTCTTTCCCCAGGACTGTGGTTTACCACACAGGGGCTCTTGGCAAGCAGGAGGGGAAAAATTCATGATTCACATAAGGATGGGGAAAAGGCCAGTGGCTGTTCTGAGGCCTTCTCTTTGTAGCGGAGCCAGGGAGATGGGGGCAGGAAGGGGTCCTGACTTATCTCCTTGGCATGGCTGTGGTCTTGTGTAAACCTCAGGGTTCAGATTTCTCCTCTGCATAAGGCCTATTTGCCCCCCTTCCCCACCCCCAGTTCATAGCTCCCAGCTCCCAGTCCCTCAGCAGCCTCCCTCTCCGGTCTTCTCTATACACTTCTCTGTATACTTCTCAGCAAGTTGGGGAATGGGATGACTGACGGATATTTTGCGCATCAGTGATGCAAGTAATGAAGAGGTGCTGTGTCCTGCCCCCTCCCCAGGGTCCTGGCATGGCTGCATCACACTCAACCCTGAGAAACAGTCCCACTGCTCGTGCCCCAGCCTGGATCCACTCTCTTATGGGTCTCCATCCTCCAGGCTATAGCATAGAGGACCCAGCCATCTCTACTGGCTAAGGAAGGATCAGGAGGAGGAGGACTAGTATGTTCTCAAAGCTATAACAAGGGACAAGCAAGAGCCCTTCATCACTCACCTTGGGTCCCATCTCTCCTGGTGGGCCGACTAGCCCCTGGGGTCCCTGAGGTCCCTGGAAACAGATACACAGATGGTTGGGAAAAGCTGGCCTATATCCCCTTTGGGGCCCAAGGCTTGATTGATGATGCAGTGTGTAGCAGTGGGGTGAAGGGCAGGGATAGAGAGGACCACAGATCTTGGGGCCACACAGCCACCTCCAGCTGTCTGCGGCTTCCTGCCACACAGTGCACTGTTCTATGTGCTTCTCCAAACTCCTGTGCCCCTTCCCCCACCCCCCGCCCCATGCAGAAAGCTTGAGTCCTGCTCACTCTACACCATCTCTCTTCTATATTGCTCTCCCCTCAAAGCCACCTCTGGAAATGCCATATGATCCTGCCCACCTCTGGCCAACTGGTGTCAAAGGGTAACTCCAGGAACCTCTGCAGGGGTGCCCTGCCCCTGACACTCAGACTCCCCCAACCCATCCCTCTGAGATGTCCCTGCACTGTGCCTCTGTTCCCCGCCCCCTCAGTGACAGCTCTGTCCTTGGGACAAAACAGACTCAATGTGAGCATGATCATGACCATGCTCTGAGGACGGCTCCCTCCTCAAGCAGCTGCTACTTTATTCTCTCTCTGCCCCCCACCCCCACCCCACCATTCCCCCCTCCTGCCTCTCTCTGTGCTGAGCTCACTATCCATGTCTCACGTCATGTCTACAGCAGGATGTCAAGGGAAGGGTGGTTGTCCTCAGTTTCCTGGCAAGAAAACAGGCTGCAGAGCAAGTCAGCCAAGACTTAGGCCAGAGCTTCCTCCCATGCAAATCTCTTGTCAGGACGCCTGGCCTATCCGTGACAGAGCCTGGCATGTCCTTTTCTAGTCCTTCTTCTTGTCTGACTACCTTGCCCCCACCCCAAGTAGAGGTCCAGCTCTGTCAACCTGATAGGGGCAAGGATGGCAAGGAGAGAGGGAACAGATGACACACTTACCAATTCTCCTGGGAGGCCCTTGGCACCTGGGGGGCCCGAGGGACCCGGGATGCCCTGTAGAGACAGAAACAGAGAACCTCAGTTTCTCATGGCTACCTCATCCTGCCTGTCAGCCTCCTTTCCCTCTCCCCCGTCCACCTCAAGCAAGTCAGTAAGGCAGCTGGTGTGACAGATGGGGGTGTGGAGACCAGGGGTGGGTAACTAGCACCATGGGGTTCCACTAAAGATGAGGGTACCTGTGGTTCCCTCCCCACCATCACCGTAAAGCTCTGGCATTACTTACGAGGAAGCCTTGTGGGCCCGAGTGGCCCCGTTCGCCAGCCGCACCCTGCAAGCACATGGGGGGGGGGTCAGGGGCTCATTAGAGGCACACAGCACAGGGCAGATGGAGGGAGTGGGGCCAGGCAGCTAGTTCAGCATAGTCACAGTCTGACATACCTGTTGTCCAGGCTGGCCTGGTCTACCTCGAGGTCCTGCAGGGCCCTGTATGGTGTGAAGGTTGGAAATGTCTCGGAAGGACCCTTCACAGAGAAGGGATCCACCCCACAGAAGAGCGAAGGGACCCTGAGACCACGTGTTTGCCCCTATCCCCACTGCACAGGTGGGAAAACTCAAGTCCAGAAGGAGTTAGGTGCCCAGTTAGGTACCCTGGGTCAAGAACCAAGTCCTCTTCCTTCTGATGGGGCTGCAGAAGTAGCCTCAGCTCCAGGGGTCCCAGTGGAGTGCATCTTTCTGGCCCACCCTGTCTTCCTGTTGTTCTTGGCTTGCAGAGTGGAGGGTGACAGGATGAGGGCCTGGAGCTGTGCCTCAGCCTCTCTGGGACTCCCTGCTATCCATAGGGGTCTGGGGTTGGGAATGCTGAACCCTGGTGCTGGGGTTCTGACTCCCCCCCCCCACCAACCCTCAGGAAAGTGTAAAGAGCAGGCCACAAGGTCCGTACCTTCAGACCCTTGGACCCCTGCTCCCCAGCTGGTCCATCTGGTCCTCGTGGGCCCTGGAATAGGAAGAAGATTCTAGCACAGTGGACGGCAGGGGTCTCCCTTGGGCTGGGAAACAGGAAGGCGGAGCTAACCCAGAATGTGGGGCTTGCCCTACTCAAGACTGGGTTCAGCCTCCCACCTTCCCACACCTGGCACCCCTTGGCACAACCCACTGGATGCAGTGCCTGCCTGAGATGGCTCTGCAGGAGCTGTGCGTGAAGAACCTTGTCTACAGAGACCCCAGTGGGAGGGGCTGCTCAGACCACCCATTGCACAGAGGAGACTGAGCGCCAGAGCCAAGACACACACAGCCAGGTCCTCAAACTGGTGTTCACCCAGTACTGCTGCCTGCTTCTCTAGAGCAGTCGCAGCACGGGGACGACGGGCCACACAGCCAGATGTGTGTAGCAGACCCCTCCCTGGCCAGCTGTGCAAGAGCCAGGCCACTGTCCACGGACCCTCAGAACCTTGGGTTCAGTCTGCTTCCTCAGACAGCGGTCTCAGTCCTTGGCAAGCTGGGAAGTTCTGGGAACAGGTGAAGCCCACTTCCCATCCCAGTGTCCCTGGTGGGAACAGAGGCCTTGCCAAAGGAAGAGGCTAGTGCAAGACCCCTTAGTAGGCCTCAAGTTGGCATCACCCTCGAGGGCCCAGCCATGGAGAGAGACAGACAGGACCGGACCTCTGGAGATGCCCCTGGAGCACTAAGGTACTTGCTCTGGGGGCAGAGCAGGAAAAGGCCTGTGCTGGGGGGACAAAGCGTATCCTGGAACCAGCCTGTGACACCTCCAGACCAAGGTGGTTGGTTTGGGCATGTAGAGAATGGCTGCGGAGGAATGAGGAAACTAAAGAGCCAGAAGTGGAGCTGTGGTTCAACTGGTAGGACACCAGACTCGAGTGACAAAGCTAAGGGACAGTGACCAGGGCCTGAGTTCAAGCCCTAGTACTATGCACGCGCACGTGTGCGCACACGTGCGCACACACACACACACAACTAGACTCACTTATCCACTGCCTTGAACACCCAGCAGTTCAGGCTCATCTGCATGGACACCATCAGGCCCCACTCATGAACACAGACCCAGGAGGAAAAGAGCCATGCTGACATGAGGCATCTCAGGACACAGGCCAAAACCTAGTCCCCATCTTACAGAGGCTCATGCCTACCTAAAAAGGACAGCCCAGGATGTGCGGGCACACAGCCTGAGTCACACAGCACCCAGCTCTCCCCAGGGATCAAAATCTTCCTTGGAGAAAGGCTGTAATCTAATTATAATAGCAAAAACAGCAGCAGCAATGATAGAGCTATTATCCTGTTTTACCAACTCGAAAGCAGGCTAGACATGGAGGTGGATTTGAGTGTGATCACACAGCTAGTGTGCATTTGAACCCGTCATGGATGCCCATTTATTTAATTACTGTCTCTCACTGTTGCTCAGGGGGGTCAGGGTGAGAATGAGGTACCCATCACAGGGGAGTATGTAAGTCATCGCCTAGAGGAGCTTGCCAGGAAGGCTGCATAGAGGACAGGGTATTTGAGAAGACAAGATTTTTTTTTTGGTCGGCCGTGGGGCTTGAACTCTGGGCCTGGGTGCTGTCCCTGAGCTCTTCAGCTCAAAGTGAGCACTCTACCACTTGAGCCACAGCACCACTTCCAGTTTTCTGGTGGTTGATTAGCGATGAGAGTCTCATGGACTTTCTTGCCCAGGCAGGCTTTGAACCATGATCCTCAGATCTTAGCCTCCTGAGTAGTTAGGATTACAGGTGTGAGCCACCAGCACCCAGCTTAAGACCAGATCTTTTAAAACTCTAGGAGACCCCTGACCCTGGCAAGCTTAGGGAGAAGTATGTGTATGTGTATTGTGGGAGGGGGTGTTGCGGGGAGGCAGCCTGGAGGAATGGGACCACGTTTACTTGTCTGCAGAGAAGAGGATTCACTTGGCCACTAGCCACCCTGTCTCCTTAGCCCGCTGTGCGTGGATACATGGAGGACTGGCTTTGGCCATGCCCCAGTGATCCTGTGGGTTCCCTGATCTACCCTCCTTTCCCCCATACGCTGGGCAGACCTCCAGTTAAGGCAGCCTGACTTTCCGTCCAAGCCATGCATCAACTCTCACGTACACACTCCCCACCACCAATGTCTGCCCTTGTCTGGGGCTCCTTTCCAGCCAGGCCCAAATAAGCTTGGCAGAGACAAAAACAACCCTGGTCATGCCCAGCCCTCATGAGAAAGGGGTGCAGGAAGGAGAGAAAGACAGGTAGGCACTCTGCCCACTGCCTAGGAGGGGTGGAGTAGAGAGGCTCTTGTGAGGTTACTGAATGTCTATGGCCAAGCTATCTGGTCTGTTGTTCTGTCACTGGCCCATTGCAGAGAGAACCAGAGGCTCAAAGGGAAAGCAGGCTGCCTGAGGTCCAAGAGGAACCAGGACTGAAAGTCAGTGTCCTGAGCTGTACCCAGCTTGCAGAGTGCTGCTGAATACTCCAGGCTCAGCTCTTATCTTAAATCTTTGTGGCTCCCCACTACCCTGAGAGCTTAGCTATGGCTGTTGAGGCCCTGCCTGGCACAGTGCCTGCTAAATCTGGGCCCCATCCCTCTGCTCCTTGCTCTGCTGACTAGGAATCCCTAAACCCACCATGCCTTTCCCCAAGCCAGGAGCTCTTCCGAGAAGCCCTCTTGAAGGCCTTCCTGGGCACCTTTCCCAGATGAGGAGCCTCCTCTGGGCTTCCATGTAGCCTGAGCTCCCTCCATCTCTGGGCTGAGGACTGCTCTCACCTGCTGTCTCAGGTCTGTCAAACTGTTGACTGCCCAGGCGGCCAGGCAGGGGAACTGCCTGCCCCATTCTCCCAGGTTTCTGCAGAGCCTCCCACAGCAGATGGTAAAGAAATGATGGCTGGATGTGACTGAGTGGACCAGAGAACTCAGTGGTGGCCAGTAGACTGCAAGACCAGAGGCTCCAACCCAGACCAGAACAAGGCCACAGGGCCCAGGCCCAGCACAGTTCCAGGGCTAGCATGGACCTTGGCCATGCTACAGGAATCACAAGAGTCAGGGCCAGGAAGTGGTCTCTGGCAGGTGTGGGTCTGACTTACCCGGCGACCCTTAGCTCCCCTCACGCCTGGTGGGCCTCGAGATCCAGGAGCACCCTGTGGGAGGAGAAGAACCTTTTTTAGGGGGCAACAACAGCATAGGGGTCACTGCAGCCTCAATTGGGTGGTCCAGTCTGGCCCAGGAGCTCCCATATTCAAGACAACTTTTAGGCTTGGCCAGTTAAAGGCAAACTTTTTCCTAGGATCCTGGGGGCAGTGAGCAGACAACTCCTCTGGGAGAGCAACTTCCTTATTTATCTCAAACTCAATGAGAGGCTATATGACATGTGTGACAGTCTCTTTAACACATGTGCCCTTTTTTCTCCCCAGCAGGGATCCAAGTGCTGTCCCCTTACCCTGACACCAAAAAAGACCCTTAAAGGGTCATAGGGAAGGAGAAGGGAAAGGTGGGGGCCCCAGGGCAGGGCAGTGGGAGGGGTGGAAGGAAAAGAGCAGTCCCCAGCAGGGTGAAGAAGAAATGAAGAGAAAGGAAGGGAAAGGAGGGAGGGAGGGGAAGAAAGAGCCGGTGAGCTGGCTTCTTTGACTTCTCAGCACCTGAGTGGGCACAAACATCTGCAAAGGGGCTGCAGTATGCAGGGGACAGGGCAGATCTCATTAAGCAGAGACGGGCGTGGCCAGATCCTCTGGCAGCCATGTCACCCCCACAGACACTGCTGGCTACTGCTGGTGTTGAGTGGGTGGGGCTTTGGCATGATCCTGGCCTGCCTGGATAAAAAGGCAGGTCTGGCAGTGGCTGGTGAGGTAACCAGTTAGCACTGGAAAGTGCTGGGAGTCCAGTCTTCACACCCTGCCACTGCGACCAATTAACCAGGTTGCCTCAATTGCTTAAGACTCTTTGGGTCTCGGTTCCTCATCTGTGACACGGTGTCCCTATCAGCTAGTGCCGCAGGACACTGATATGACCGAAGCGGGTCCTTAGGAAAAGGCTGCCATATATGTCTGCTCTCTCTCTGCACGTAGGGAGAGGCTAGACCCAGGGTGAGAGCCAGCTCAGGTACTGAGAAATGGGGGATGGGGGGTGGGGAATATTCTTGGCTGGCTAAGTAGACTGTTGTAGAATATGGGAATCGGTGCCACTGGGAAAAGGCCAATGAGATAGGCCCAGTACCTTCAGTGGCAATAGCTGGACAACTCCCATGTGTAGCGATCATAGCTAGCAGTTCCTGCCATGATATAGCCTGGTGTCCCCACTGCCTTCCCGGTCCCATCTCCAGCCTCTCACTTTGTCCCAGTGACCTCTTTTCCAGCTTTTCTCCCCTCACTGGACAAATGTCGAGAGACTTAGACCAGGGACACAAGAGGTAGAATTTGGCAATGGACCCCAAGCTGCGGCTTCAGCGTGGTGCCTCCCATGCTAGTGGGCTCCAGTCTTTCCATCTCTGAGCCTAGAGGAGAGGGGCTAGCGGCCTCTGGAGTGGGGACACTGGACATTGGGATTCCAAGCTGGCAGCCTTGGCCACTAGGCTAGCCCCAGCCAGCAGAACACTGGTCCTTTGGCCTCTTGCTTCTCTCCCCTACAGTCCCATTTCTGCATCCTTAGCTCCTTCAATCTCAGGTCAAATGTGCTTCTCATCCTCCTCATGTTCAGAGAAAAACACCAAGTGACAGAGAGCCCAGATCACGGCTATGATCCCAGCTCTGCCCAGAACTTTCTACGTCATCTAAAGGACCATAGGGATGACAGGGCATCCGCTGAGCCTTGGCATCAGCCCTAGATAGCAGTACTTCTGTACAGTCTCTCACCTGGGAAGAGTCCCTTCACATCCTACCTCAGCATCTAGCATTGCCTGGAGTGCTGGGGGCACTCAGTGAAAGTCTGCTAATGACTAAGAGAACGTTTTCACTGACAGTCACTCTAGACAGTGACTCTCCAACCAGTCCTGCACCTCTGGGGCTGTGTATGCCTGGCACACCATTGGGGGTCAGAGTTGGCTTTGCTTTCCCTGATTGGCCACCAAGGATCATGTATGTGCAGTTTTTCCCATGGTTCCCAGCTGTCATAGGGTGGTCCTTCCCATAGTTGTCCAAGTACCTAAGCCTCACCCTCAGGGGCTCCTACACTGGAGCTTTAATCTTGACAAATCAACTCCCTTCGTGAAGTTACACCCTCCTTTACACAGAAGCAGAGGGTCCACAAGCAAGGGGGTCCTAAGTCTGGAGTCCTGAAGCCCTCCCTATCTCTCTGCCTGAGATCCTTATATAGGACCATCCCTGAGTCTTCTATTGTCATCACAAGCTCAGAGCCCCTCCATAGCACGCATGTCTTGATTACTGGATTCTTTCTGTCCTGATCTTTCAGAATGAAAGGCAGGGCTGCTTCCTGCTGACATGGCTCAGACACAGACAGAGCAGTAATGCTACTGACCAAGGTGTTCTTTTTTTTTTTTTTTACCCCCTTTTGGTGGGTCATGGAGCTTGAACTTGGGGCCTGGGCACTATTCCTGAGCTCTTTTGCTCAAGGTTAGCGCTGTACCACTTTGAACCACAGCACCACTTCCGGTTTTCTGGTGGTTAATTGGAGATGAGAGTCTCACAGATTTTCCTGCCTAGGCTGGCTTTGAACGGTGACCTTTATATCTCAGCCTCTTGAGTAGCTAGGATTACAGGCGTGAGCTGCCAACATCCGGATGATCAAGGTGTTCTTGAGTGACACACATCACTCGCGATGAGCATCTGTCCCCCAGTTTCATTAACCCGCAGAGCCACATTTTCATTGCCCCAATTATTTGTTCTATTTTCCCGATGAGCAAAAATTTGGACTCAGAGAAGTGTGAGGATTAATTCCCCAGAGAGGGTGGGCAGGGTTTCCATGCCAGTTCTGCGATTTGGGATTCTATACCCTCACTTGTGACCATGTGTTTGGCTCAGAGACCAAGAGGGCTTTGCTTACCGGAGGCCCAGGCTCTCCAGGGGTCCCGACACTACCTGGCATTCCAGGATGACCCTGCCAAGAAGGAAAAGGATGGATCAGCTGAGGGAAGTGCCTCTTCTTCCTGCAACCCCACCTTAGCCAGGAGCCACAAGGGAAAAAAGCTAGGCCTCCTGCAGAGAGGTCTGGGGCCTGTGGCAGGTAGAAGGAGCAGTGTCACCTAGGCTGGGACAGCAGAGGCAAAAGGATGCAGACTTACTCCTTACCATCGACCCCTTGGGTCCAGGTGCACCTGGGGGCCCCATCATGCCGCGATCACCCTGTGGTGGAGACAGCAATACCAACAGGTCATGGCTGGGCTGCAGGTGGCTCTGGGGGGGGGGCCCACGCAGTAGTCCTTCCAAGGGACTCAAAAGGGCCCAGGACTTCAGGGTCTATGCAGACTCCCTGCTTTGCTCACAGCCACGTCATTGGCAAGGGTTTTACTTGCTGAAAACCAAAGCCTTAGGCCAGATCTGGGAGGCTGGCCTTCAGAGGCTCCTGTAGTAGCCTCAGAGCCTCCTGAAGCTCACCACACAGAGGGTATCACTGGGCCCAGAACTGTTCTTATTAAGAATGCACTAATTACTATTGCCCCCCACCCCTTGATCCTGATCCACATTACAAGGTCCTCATTAGACCCAGAATCCCCTGGGCTAGGTTTCCTGGGGGCAGAAAACATCATGGAGGTCTTTCACCCACTGATCGATCCCAAAAGAGATCTGGGGGATCAGAGATAACTCATTCCTTCTAGACCAATCAGACTAGAGAGCCAGAGAGCAGGGACATCACCCAGAACTACAGCCAGAAGGCTGAAGCTCCATCCTGCCTCTATTTTCCTGACAGCCATTTTTCCATCCACACAGGCAGCAAAGAGCATCTACTATGTGCCCAATTCTATCTGTCAGGCCCAAAATACTCAAATGAAGAGTGGAAATAGGCTGGATGCTACGGCTCATACCTCTAATCCCAGCTATTCAGAAGTCAGAGATCGGGAGAAACAAAGTTCTAGGTAAACCTAGGAAAAATGTTAGCAAGACCCTCTCAATCAATAAGCTGGGCATGGTGGTGACAAGCATGGTAGCCCAGCTACATGGGAGGTACAAATAGGAAGATCACAGTCCAAGCTGGCGTGGACAAAAATAGAAAATTATCCAACACACAACTAAAGCAAAAGGTATAAAGGTATGATTCAAGTGTGCATGCCTGGTGAGTGTGACACCCTGAGTTCAGACCTCAACTCTGGGTAAAAACAAAAGCAGAAAGAGACCAGTCCACACCCAAGTGGCTAGAATGGCAGGGAAATGACACAAACCTTGGGAGAGATGCAACCCAGATTGGGTCCAAGGAGGGAGAGCACAGGGCAGGGCCAGTCTGGGGGTCAGGTGGTGAGGAAGGTCCTCTCAGAGAGGTTCACTGGAGGCAGAAGCTCATTAGAAGTGAGCCAGACATGCAATGCCTATGTGCATCTGATCATACAAAATAATATTTATCGAAATGAACACCAGGAAATGGAAACAAGAGGTTTCTTTTCTTTTTGTTCTGATTGTTCATTTATATGCCTTTGGGGGGATAAGGGGAGGCAAAGAAATGGAGGGACAAAGGATGAACAAATGCAGCAAGGGTACTCACTAGATACGGTGATGAAAATGAACTATACAACTTATGGGTGAGGATGGGAGAGAAACACTGGGAGAGAGCTAGGGAAGGTGTGCCACAGTCTAAAAGGAACTATACTCTTTACCAGGTTTATGTAGTAACCTCTCTGTACATCACTTTTATAATAACAACAGTATTTTTTTTGTTGTTGTTGGTCATGGGGCTTGAACTCTGGGCCTGGGCGCTGTCCCTCAGCTCTTCAGCTCAAGGCGAGCGCTCTATCACTTGAGCTACAGTGCCACTTCAGGTTTTCTGGTGGTTTATTGGAGATAGGAGTCTCACGGTCTCTCCTGCTCGGGGTGGCTTTGAACCGCGATCCTCAGATCTCAGCCTCCTGAGTAGCTAGGATTACAGGCGTGAGCCACCAGCGCCCGGCAACAACAGTATTTTTAAAAAGAATGAAAAAATGGTAAGCCAGACAATAAAAAGACTGGGAGGTGGAATGGAATGAGAAGGTATCCTGGATGAAGGCAGTTGGGTGGCTAGATGTTGGTAGGTAAGGGATATAAGATCCATGGACTACAAAAGAAGGGCCAAGTTGGTTTTATACAGCCCAATGGTTATTTCAGCTGGTAGCACCTGAGGACACAGGGTGAAGGATACATAAGACCTTCTCTAGTTTTGTTTTTTTGCGGGGACAGCATTTTGTACATCTCAATTTCAAAAGATAGGCGTATTTAAATTTATATTCTACCATTTAAAGGAAGTAGAAGAAGAGTGGGGGGAGCGGCAGTAAATCCTCGAAGGTCTGGGCCCCCAGATGATGAAGAACCTCTTAGGTTAGGCAGAGCCAGGCCAGGTTGGACTGTTTCTCCAGCTGTCTAGCAGGGATGATAACATTGGCCCCTCCAGACCGGGGCCTATTTCGGGGACTGGAAAAGCTCAGGCAAAGGAAGGCAAATGGCTTCACAGCACTCCTGTAAGCAATCTGGGAGTCAGTGTGAGGCTGAGTGGGATAGTAGACAGTGTGGCTTCGAACATGTGAAAGTGGTTCAAAGCTCAGCTCTGCCACTTACTTTCTGTGTCACCTCAAGCAAGTCAACTAACTGCTCTGCTGTGGCCATGGTGACTTTGTAAGACCAAGCTGCTGGGGCCATGGAGGCATCTGAGACCAAAGCCACCACCACCACCACCCACCCTGCCTCTTCCGGAAGACAGATCCCTCTCTCTCTTTTGCTGCCCACGTTGGGTACTGGCAGTGGGCGGCCGTGAAGGGCCGCTAGTTCTGCTTGTTGTCACCCAAATGTCTAAGGCTGCTTGTGGCTGACAGGAGGGCAAGAAGATTCCCTAGGGATTGCTATAACAGGAGACACAGGCTCTAGGATGGACCAAAAGAGAAGTTAGGGGAGTGGTCTGCCTTCCACCTTTTCAAATCTCCAAAATGTAACCTCTACTTGTTTATTTCTTTCCCCAACACAGCTTACCTTCTCTCCCGTGATTCCTGGTTCCCCGAGCAGACCAATGAATCCCAGGAGCCCCTAGAGGATACATTTTGGAAAACAAGAGGGAAGAAGATGAGTCGGATGACAAGAGGTGCTGAGTTCTCACACACTCCATCCTCTAGGGTTCAGGTCCTAGGCCTTTGGCCCCAAGCCTGGTGACCCAGCCAGCCTGTCTGCCATGGAAGGTGTGCACTGCCTGACTCTGGGCACCGTCCTGACTTCCCTCACTCCACCAGATGGTTCTGATTTGAAGGCCGAGCACTGGGGTTGCTGCCAGCATCCCTGGGAGCCGCACATTCTTCCTGAGCCAGAAGCAGGCTGGGAGGTAGCCACGTTTGGAGCTGGGGGCAGGGGGGAGGGCTGAAGTGTGCTGGGAAGAGACCATCTGTCCCTGCCTTTTGGGGCTCTGGGACTGTTTTCAAAGAGAGAAACAAAGTCACTGACTAGGACAGAACTACTGTTACAGAAATACCTCTGCCGGGGGTGGGGGG